TTTCCTTTTTCCCCTCTTATTTCATTTTTGGGCTGTGCCAAAATTTGATATAACTCCTGCTAAGGGCTGTTTTTCATTGATGTTAAAACAAGTTAATTTTTCTAAATTCCAAACAGAGTTTTCTGGAGTTCCAAAAGAACTTGCTTTTTATAACCCCCCGTACTTCCGGCCCATCATTTGCTTGAATTAATTTGCAGGATGTACACGGGAATTTGTGGTCTAGAGCCAAGTCCAAGTTTTTGCTCAGAGAGTAATGTGATGTAAAACTTATCACATTTCTGATTCTTGAAAAATATGGTTCATAATTGCAATTTGTTTTTTTTAAATTAAGCGATATATTTTCTAGTCGTGTTTCAGAGTTATTTTTTATTGACAGACATGTCTGTGACCGGAAGAACTAGTTCCTTGTAACATTGAACCTTTTTTTTTCAAACAAACTGATGGTCTTTCATTGTATTATTGAAAATTTGTACTAGTCAGTTAATTTATAAGCCTGACTATTTAAAAAAAAACTTTTTGTGGTCTACGTGTTAATTTATGTTTCTGTAAATTTCATAAAATTGTATGGTCTTGAACTGCGCTAAAATGATAATTGTCACAGGAATAATATTTCTGTTGTTTCGCGCAGTAGTACGCGTGACGTCAATTTCCTTATAAGGGCCCGTTCCCCATGCCTTAATGAAAATAATAATAATAATAATAATAATAATAATTATAAAAATAATAAAATCTTTATTTATAGAAGGTAACATACAAAATTTACACCGCAAGAAGTATACTTACTTTCAATATGGCCTTCTGATTTAACAAAAACAAAGACAAAAATGTAGATAAAATTTAAATTTCTTTTTATAAACAAAAAAATAATATATATTTTCTTGAATGTAAAGGTTAGATATTTTTATTCATTAATGCGACTGACACTCATATTAATTATAGTAATTATAGATAAACTCGTAATGATAAAAAATGCGGAAAAAATGATGATATCAACATTTACAACAATAAAAATATAAAGTGGTCAATTTTCATCATGTATCTAACTGTAAACTTAGAAAATACATTTTAAAGTGTTTTTTGTGTGTGAAAGATTGTGAAGTCGAACATTGTTTGATAGTAATAGGTAAATTTATTCCAAACGTCAATACTGAAATAAGAAAAGGAATCCTTTAAATCATTTGCATGAGGTATACTTTGCAGACAAGATCTTTAAGAGCGATTGAGCGTAAATTATGTTATTCATTGTGAGAGAAACTAAAAACCTACTCAGATATAACGGTTCCAGATTTTTTAAAGATTTATACACCATAATTGATGTGTGGTATTTCACTCTGAAATTGAATTTCAGCCATTTAAGTTTATCAAAAAAGATCTAATGTTGGTGAACGTATCGGTCTATTAAGTATAATTTTTGCAGCTTTTTGTTTGAATTGAGTTTACTTTATTGATGTATGAATATGTGTCCTTTCCCCATACCGTACAACAATAGTCAAGCACAGGAAGGATGTACGCGTTGTAATATATCTTTTTTATTTTGTCAGTAAGGTAAAAAATGATATGATTGAAGGGGGCAATTTTTGTATTTAGTTCTTTGCAAACAGAGTCAATTTGATAATGCCAGTTTAATGTATCATCTACATAAATGCCCAATAACTTTTGAACTGTAACATTTTCAAGAGTTGTATCATTTACTTTCAGTAAGAGGATTACATTTCATCACCTTTTTTGAAGAACCAATTATCATGCATCTGTTTTTATTGGGTGCCAAGACATTTTGATGCACAAAAATTTTATACCTTGCGTGATTGTATTTTTTTATATATTATTTCTTTGTATTTCGGTATTTTCATAGTATATATTTGAACTTTTTGTCAAAATACTCCTTATGTATGTGATAATGTGTGTAAATTTTTCTGACTTAGTTGCCATTTTAACTTTGTTATATACAAATTTCTAACTTAATTGTTAATAAATAAATAAGTAAATAAAATAAATTAGCATATATTTTGCCCTTTGTTATCTGATTATAAAACATCGATACATAGTTTGTTTCTATGTAAACTACTTAAAAAATATGACTAAATGGAAAAAATAAATGCGATGGCTTTAATATTCATGACCACTTATGCTAATACTTGGTAACACTCGACAGTGACTCTTTTTGCGACACTTGACGTAATTATGAAATTTGTTTTAAATACACTTGTTAGGATAGGGAAGTCAAGAAATTAAGCAGTTTTTTTTATTTTATAAGAAAAAAAAAACATATACATTAAATATAGTGATATAAACAACATGTAAAACTGTTTTTTTTAAGGAAGTTATTTGTTTCTAATCTAAACTTACAATGAAGCATAGAAGGTGTTTAATCTATATATTCAGCAATTATACGAGTCATAGTTATGGTATCACAATATGTTGTCGGTATTGTTTAACATTAATTCACTTTCACCCATACCGCTGTAAGTTCAAATCCCACCGGAGACTTTGGAATGTTAGGAAGCTAACCGACTAGCTTACGAAACGTCGGAGGTATTACTCAAATGCGCGCTCTTGTCTAAACTTAAGATCCAAGTTTCAACATTCAAATATTTTATTTGGTAACGTAATGATGTCGTTTCTTACTACACAGACACATACATAAGATGATACAATAAAACTTGTCAACATGACACAATTTTAAAGACAACTATTTTAACAGAAAAATATGATATTTAAAAGCCAAATAAAAGACAAAAAGGAAGAGAGACAACAAGGAGGTTCAACTAATGGCGAATTTGTATGTTATTTGGCTTACAAAATCACGATCAAAATAAAATCAAATGTAACATGAAATTATTGAAATATATCAAGGGAAATGTGCATATTACTTTAATTTAAAACGGTAGATACTGTAATAAGTTTATTAAGACATCATACAAACTATACCTTGAAATATTTAAAGGCTATATATATATATATTTACATTATTCAATTAGTATAATGCTGTTGGTTATATTTATAACAATACCGTCTTGTTTCTATTCTAAGTGGGTGAGGCGACAATCTTTACTTTCAAAAGCAATGCTTAATTTCATTGTAATTTTATGTAATCAAATGACGTCTTAAAAAGTCTATATGCGGGATTGTTGTAACATAATGATACCAGGACTGGATGAATTGGTCAATAAGACTTTGCTTAAATAATAAATGTACATTTTAAGGTTATAAATATAACATGCATATGATAAACCTGCATTATCTAATAATGACTTTACAATAGACGACCAGTTATATGTGTCTCTATAAATATCATTTAACATTTATGTATAAAAGTAACTAACTATAACATTTTTACTTTTGACAATATTTGACCAGGGTTTTCCCTACTAAGTGTGTCATTTGTTGATCAGAATTTACAAAAAAATACACTAACAGTTCAAACTGATATTTTTTCATGTTATTACAAAAAAAAAAAAAAAAACACATACACTGTTGTACAAAACGTATGTCAAAACTTATAAAACTTAGCAAAATAAATAAGGTATTAAATTATGTAAGTATATGATCCCCTTATATATGGAACTGTTTATGCCTTCAAAACGTGGAACATCAAAATATCAACATGCAAGTCAAAATGTTTTAAATGCTTTTTAAGAAAGTATTTACAATAGTTTTCAACACATAAAATATCAGACAGATATTCAGCACTTTACAATAAAGAATGATTTTGTGTTTGATATAATGTCGTCCTTTGTTTATAATTGAAATTGTTACTCTGTTCTCTGTCGGACTATTTTAATACAGTTCATAGTTGTTGATGACCATTTATCTTCGTGTGTGTGTAATGTTACACGCCCATGAATGACATCAAGTGTCTGGACGAATTTCTCCATATTCATGCTCAGATACTGTAAAAAAACGAAAGGAAAGGAAAAATATTTCAAAGTCATGAAACAACTTAAATGTAGACAAAAGGTTTATATAAACAGTTTATATATTGACACTAAATAACTAAGGTGTTTACAATACGATAATCTGAACAATTAATTCACAATTACCTTGAACTCTTCCAAGATCCTCATAGTCAGGTGACCTTAATACAGTGTCGCTCTTTGTTGCTGAAAAATAAACCTTTCTATATAACTGATATTCTTTTAATACTTACACACAACTTTACGAGTTAATGACTACATAACGAATTGTAAGATATGGTTGAAATATACAGGCTACGCTTTGAATACATGCTACTATTTTTAAAAAAAAAAAAAAAACAAATACAACATCAACAAAGACAACTTACAATACCCGTACATTTGTATTGCAAGTATGATGAAAAGACTTGTAAAACATTTTAAATTTAATATAATGCAACGGCTAGATGAAAGAGATTTGATGAGAACATCAGAATCAGTTATGCAAAAAAGCATGAATTTACATTTCCATTAAAATATTTAAATGGATATTAACAAGTTCAACCCATAATGATATTCAATGCGTATTATGTTATTATAAGTACGAAAGAAATTGTTAGTAATTACATATATTTTAAATGAAATGTAAAGAAGGATCTGAATAAGTCAATTAAAAGTCTAGAAACACAACAGGAAATACCTTGTGCAATTCCATGCTTGCTGGCACTGCCAGCATTCACCAAATTTCCACATTCCAGTTCAAAGCCTGACAACATTGGAATAATAAATTTTGTTAGTATTTTATATAAATTATTTCTTTTTTTTAAACTCCGTGATAAAAGCATATTATGGTCTCGATAGGTAGTCATTTAATTTAGGACTGACTGTGCAAAATGGGAATTTAAAGGGAGCGGTGGCTTAATGGATAAGGAATCAGCTTCACAATCCGCGGATCATGTCTTCGAGCCCTACACGGATCCGTTTCTTTATATGGCACCATTACTGGTTGGTTTCAGGAAGAGGACTCGAAAATGATTTATATAAGTGAAAAAACTTGTTTCGCAATCGAGCTTAAATAAATATGTTGAAAATGGATATGAAGAACATAAAATTTATAATGAGAGAAATCATTTATTAGTTAGAAATAAGATGTATATTTACGAGAGTTTTCATATACAGGTCCTTTCGTCTTGTAAGAATCATTGACCCTGTAATGTAAATTAAATGTTGGCCATATTTCTTTTAGATCATTTGATTTGTCATTGATAAATATACAGTACTCAAAAACTGTTGTAATATATTTATCTTGACAAGACAATATAGTGCACAAAAGTAAGTTTGAAGTGAATACTAGTTTTTACAGTTTCCGAGAAAAAGGACCTAAACAAAAGGTTTACCCATGCCATCACTGACACCGACGGCGATGCGTCAAGAGGGTCATTGCAATAGCTTCACTTATTTTTATTTTTTTTCCTTTTTGAAAAGTGGAACTAAACAGGCGAAATTTGTTTAGAATTTTGACATATTTCATATATTGCACAGCTTTTGCAACTTTCATGTTCTATGTGTTCTATATTGGAAGTTTATTCAGTTGTATAAATACAAAATTTTGTAACGTGAACGGGCTAGCTGTTATATACATAATTTTTCTTATGGCTACTTTGCCAGTTGATTGGTAACAAATGATTATAAAATGATTAGTTCAAGTTTAATTAATAAGTGTTTATAACAGTATAAAAGATAATAAGTTTTTCTTGAACTTTATATAAAATAGGGGTGACACTATTTAGGCTGTTCAATATATTTATTAAACCACTTGGATATCGAGTTTTCAATACTTTAGTATTAACAATTACACCTAACGCAATGTTTAATTGATGCAATTGATAAACTTCGTAAATAGTGCAAGATTCCAAGTAATTGATCTGAAATGTTAATAAATTATTTCTGTGATGTTGACACTTCGGCAGCTGGACACAGACTGATTGTCCGCAGCTTTGAGCTCTATTTATACCCAATAATGTAGTTATATTTAATGATCGTTTACTGAAATTGAAGAAATCAAGCATCCAAGAGATTTTGATCATGGGTCGAATATTGGTACGAATGACATTGAGTTCGAATTAGTTTAAGGACGAATTGTTCTGATATTTTAGAAATAATAAAAATATGCCCGTTATATCAAATAATTGCTATAAATAAGTTGTTAAATCTAATCATTTAATGTTAATGTATTTTTTACTTATTTATAAAAGACCAAACTCTACTTTTAAACCCAAGATATTATATTTGTTTATAATTTAATTTACCGACAATTTAGGTATAAAACCACTAAATATCATTATAAAATCTAGGCAGAAGAGAACAATTGTCACAATCTTTACCTTTTTCGGTATTTCCAGAGAATCAACGTAACCACAAATATGATGTGAACAACAACTGACACTGCAAGAAGTGTTCCAAGAGATATAGCAGCTGTATTTACTGAATGCTCTGAGGACTTTGTGTCTAAAAATACACCGGTAATCAACAATAATATCTAAGCGTATTATAAAAAGAAGGGTGCTACATAAAAGACATATTAAAAAGTACATACATTGTGTATCTCTATAAATTTATCAAGACATAACATATAATTATATTTTATTTGGCTTTCATACATTGCATACTTTCTTCTATACATAAAAAACGTCTATAATTGTTGTCGAAGTTACTAAATTTAAGAAATAATATATCCCAAACAGTGATTTTATCGCTCAATAACATCACTGTTTGGAGTTCGGATGCGAGGAATTATATCACGAGGGCGTAGCCCGAGTGATATAATGATGCGCATCCGAACGACAAACAGTGATGTTATCAAGCGATAAAATCACTAATTTGGATATATTATTTCGATTCTAACACGACATCAACAAATAAATGTTGCCGTACTTGATAGCTAAGCAAAATTGCGCCTGATTTGTTTCCGTACTTATTTTCAGCGCGTCGGATTTTTAGTGGTTACGTCGCGTGTATAATGATTACGTCACATGTCTAAATATAGAACGTCAAACTGTTCATCTGTTGCATAATAACACACACTTTCTGTTCTTCTATGTTCAATAGGGAAAAATGCGAGTCGTGTTAGAATTATTCTTATAATCATCAACATTATTTTCATTATCATTAGCAGCGCAACAACATAATCACCATCATTACAAATTTACAGAGAAGACATATTATGACATTAACACATAACACAACTAAAAATGAAAAACATATATTTATAACGAATTTATGAATAAAAACGAGCTGTTTTGAATTTATCTTACCTGGTGTCAGAGGGCAAATGTGGTCATTCTTTACTTTTATTATGCAGCCTTTTGTACATTTGCCGTCGTCTTGCTCACAAAGTGTATCGTTGCAATAAACAGAACATTTCTCAGAACATTGTAAACCGTGGAAACCATCTGCGCATCCATATAGGCACTTTCCATTACTTTGCTGACATAAACTTCCGCCTGTTGTTTGAATTTTGCATGTAGAGGCACATGAAAAATTACAACTATCACCATAAAAGTAACCGATGCAACCGTCACAAAGACCTGTCTCGATATGACAGGACTTAAGACAGTTCCGAGGACATTTTTTGTCACATTGGACATTGAAGTATCCAGGCTTACATTGTTTACACGTAGTATCTGACAAACATGTAATACAGTTGTTATTATTTATACAACATTTGTCACCAGAATAATTGAAGACACAGCCATCAGAGCACGTTCCTGTATATCTGTCACATACACCGTATAAACAAATAGATGGGCATGTCACAGAACAAAATGAACCAAAAAAGCCAATACGACATCTATCACATGTCTCTCCAACAAAGTTGTGATTGCAATTAAAACAATGACCGGAATCTTTCAAGCAACCTTGCTCGTCACAGGTATTTGGACATTCACTTTGGCATGATTCTCCATATTTGCTAGGTTTGCATTGAATGCAATGTCTTCCTACAAAGTTATCAAGACACCCATTTGAGCATTCCCCATTACTTTTCTTGCAATGCTGATTTTTACAGCCGACAGGACAAGATATGTTACAGTATTGTCCATACCAGCCTGTTAAACAAAGGTCACATTTATCCCCAACGATCGTGTCTATAGTACATCCGTCTGTACAATCTCCGGAATCTTTTTCACACACGTTAGCTTTACACCCTGCAGGACATTGTTGATCGCAAACATTTCCATATTTTCCGGTTATGCATTCGTCACATCTTACTCCAGCAAAATAAGGAGAACATGCACAGCTTCCAGTTAGTATATCGCAAGTGTTTGACATACAACCAACTGAACAACTGTTGTCGCACGTCGATCCATAAAGACCACCTTTACAAAGCAAGCAACTATTAAAGGACCAACATCGTGCACAGTTATCTCGACATTTGTATGTACAGTCGTTTAACAAAGGGAGGTTTTTGTTAAAATAACCATCCTTACACGATCCACAATTAGTATTCGATGTACACGTGACACAGTTACCTGGACATAAACTATTACATATTTTAGTCGTATCGTAATATCCGTCCTTACATGATGCACATTGACCGTTATTGCAATTACAGTTTTCAGGACAGTAACGATTACTACAATCATTTCGACCATTGTCATTATTATATCCCTCCTTGCATGATGTACACGTGGTTCCTGACGTGCATGTTTTACATCCGGGTAAACACTTTGATGTGCAGTCTCTAGCAGGGCCGGGGTAATAGCCATCATAGCACGCGGTACACGTATCTGCACGATCAGGGCATTTTGTACAATTGTGTGTACATAGTTCATAACATCGAGCAGATCTATGACCATCAATACAGCCTTGAGTACATTCGTTAGAAAACCATTTTCCCCGTGCACATTTTCTATTTATACAACATACACAACCTACTTTACATTGTTCATCAATCTCTATAACGGGAAAGAAAAACAATATTTCAGTAACACTACCAACACCTTTTCGTGCTGCATGTATATTTATTTTCTTTTAACTTGAATAAATACGTTTTCCATTAACAAAGATAAATACCACATTATCTGTAATAAAGACTGATGTAAATTTAGTTACCTCCTTCTACCAGGTTGTTGCTAACATTTAACCATATACACCATACATACAATATCTGAAATATATATTATGCAACGTCACAAATAAAACATTACATGTACTTCTTTTCTAAGTTTAGTTAAGCCATACAAATTGATAATAAGTAACGGTATTCTTTGAATTGAAACAAGTGTGGTTTGTTACAATCTTTTAAACAGTTACCAAAATTGAATAGGTTCTGTAAATTATTTTAAATTAAAAAATTGAAACTAAATATATTCATTTGACTTTTGATTTGATCCCTCTTCAATGCGAACAACATTAAATAATAAACCATGGTAAATAGCTTCAACATATTTTCCTCATAACATCTATAACATTTGTTTACTTTCCCTTCAGTTTAAAAATTATTTAGGGCCTTGTACATATTTGAACTAATATAAAACCGCTTCCTAGAATAAGCCAGGTATGGTGTAGGATATGATAACATAACTATGACCCAAGAAGGGTTTGTACCTACGACCCCTGGGTTGAGAGGAATTAACCTAATTGCTAAGCATCCGTCTCACGTTGAAGTTTAGATGTTTTTAACCTTCATGTTTATCATTGTATTATCGAATTTGTAATTAAGACTTATAAACTAATGACATATCTGTTCATTGAAAATATTATATTGTAATGAAACGTGTGTCTGGGGATTCTAATTTACCTTACTTGTAATTTATTGAAATTCTAGAGTTTTGATATCAGTTTATCATATTTACAAATGAAGAAATAACTTGAAGATAAAAATAACTGAAAATTGGATACCATAAATTTGAATTAATGAAATAAAAATCACAATTCTGATCTACAAAGCGTTTGTACCATACACTCGAAATTTGACTATGTCGGTAAACAGGAAGTGGATGGGCAACATACCTGAACTTCTACCCCAAGGTATGAAACCACATGTTAATGGTGTATACCAAATATCAAGAAGCTGTTTTAAGAAGTTGCTGAGAAAATTTCCCAGTTAACTGGAAGTGGATGAACAACAGACCTGAATCGAACCCCACAGTATGTGACCATGTGTCAATACTGTATGTCATATATTAAAAGGCTGTGATAACTAGTTGCTGAGAAAACTGTTACGAAAATTTCCTACCATTGACCATAAATGTCGAAAATTTATGTGATATATGGAAGGGTATTAACGCAAAAATTATATCTTGCCTTCTTACGTTACACTGTGCTTTCTGACTTGTACATCTTGGATTTTTACTATAACATTTTGCATTGTGACATGCACACAATGCATTCTGGCTTGCACATCTTGCATTATGACTTGCACATTTTGCTTTAAATTGCATGGATCGTTCGTTATTTGACTTCAAATCTGTCTACGTTAATGTTTTATGTTTGATGCTAAAATAAGTTCAGTTTAATTATAATAATCGTAAACTGTCTACATTTAATGTGTACAAAAAGGAAACCTAAGTTAATCGATTATTAATGTATAAATATTACATTGAAGCACGCACTGTGTGCAATACAACAAGGCAGGTTGCAAACTACACTCTTTTTTACGACAGAGGGCGCAAGTTCGGAAACATGTACGGAACCATACGGAAATTACCGAAAATATACGAGTATCCGGAATATCGATCACCTTCCATACCCAAGCACTTTGAACAACTGTTCTATTTTATAATTATTTTGTTGATAAAAAAATAATTCTAAAATCATTGATTTGGAAATGTGCAACTTGTCATTGTCAGCTGGAAATATAATTTGACCCACACAGTTTCAGTAATAAATACAAAAATTGGTTAAATCGTTTTGTATATATGTTTACCTTATTTGCTCCATAGTGGAAATGGAAATTTTAAAACAAAGGGACGTAACTTGGTAAACTGAATCCGAACCGCAATACGGACTTTACCGAGAATATAACTGTAGCGCCACCTGTTAGCATAATTTGGGTGTCACATATTAATACACCAGATGTCGCGTCGTATTATGCTTGCTGCATTCGGCTTTCGGCTATACGTCATTCTACCTTATGACATTCGTCATTCAATCTGAGTAAATAAACCCAAATACAAACAGTTGCAGGTTAAGTTATTGAATTAGTATACTAGATCAACAAAAGAATAATAATTGATCATTAAATAATGATATCAACATACAGTTAAGCAAGACGCACACAGCAGAAAGCATAATGAGCATGTAAGAAAGCAACATGTAACTGTTAGAATGCAAGATGTACAAGTCAGAATGCAAGATGTACAAGTCAGAATACAAGATGTACAAGTTAGAAAGCACGGTGTAACGTAAGAAAGCAAGATGGAATTTATTTTTGCGTTAATACCCTTACATAGTGATAAGTAAATGCAGAGAAAAATGTAACGAAATTTTTCCCGTCCGCCAGCCGCCCGACATTCACCATAGTATAACTCTGGTTTGCAACATATTGAATAAATAAAGGCATATTATTAAAATAATTATCAAATTATTAATTTTATGAACTCTAAATGTGAAGGGATAAATTTAATAGGCGATGTTATACAATGTAAATTTCCGAGGGAATTTTCAAGTGAAGATTTATTCAGTGACATTGTTAATAAAATGAGAGTATGACGCACCCATACAAGATAAAGAAATGATATGCCCAAGAGATCATTATTAACAGTATGCTACTACCAGACCTACCTCGATAAACGTCATCAATTCTTTGATTTGAAATTCTTTCTGTAAACAAAATCTGTAAACCTTTCCACATGATGACTTTTCCAAAACAAAATCATTTTCATATTATATAGCAAATAACATAATAATAATGTACGTAAGTTTACAGCTACATATACGAATCAGGGTATTGTATGCTTTTATTTCTTTTAAAAGAAATTCCAAGTCCTGATGAAAACAAGTTTTCTTCTTTAAAAAGAAACATGCGAGAGGTTATGTTGCAGCTGTTGAAGTTTTGTTTGTTCAAATGACGGACCATTAACAATTTCTGAGCAACATATCGGCTATTTCCGATAGTCTCCGGATAAGTTCTTATTAAGAATAATCGGCTAGGTGTAACAAGGTTAAAGGGGATCATACTAAAATTGCAGAGACCGACATAGACCGACACAAATCAATAAATACTGCAAAGACCGAATTAAGACCAACAGAGACAGTTGGAAATTAAATAGTCTTAAGGAAATAAATTGTAATCTTTGCTTCTATATTTACGGTCCAAAGGTCCTTGAATTTAATGTATTTAACCGAATGTTAAAATGTATATTCTTAATCAAGTTAGCTAGTGGAATTATATTGCAATCAACATTGAGTAAATGTTTATATATATATTTAGTAAATTTAGGACATAACGAAATGTCCCGATTCATCTGCAGATTTTTAAATGTTTTAAATGTCCGGATTTTGATCTGGCTTGGGGTGTGAGATGAGACGTGTGCTTTACAATGGCATGCATTGATGAAGTCATTTTGTCGTTATGAATTAAGTTGTAATTTTAGAAGCGGTTTCGAGAAAATAATTTTTATCAATAATTATCAAGGAAAATACAACACAAACTGTGTAATATAAATTAATGTATAATTATGTTATATTTGAATCCATTGTAACCAGCAAAAACACCTGAGATCACTTATTTCCGTAGGCCTTATTATTCTGCCAAGAAAGAAAAAGCAATAACCACAGAAGACAGTCACGGCGTTCCATAATTCTTCCAAGGCTAGATGTTTGTGATTTATAAACTTCAAAAAGTGTTTAATATACAATGATTAAGATATGCTATGTAACATACACTAGTTCACTCATTTCTGGGTTCTATATGTAACTGTTCTGGGTTCTATATGTAACTGTAGCGAAATTTTAATTTTATGCTTTCAAATGCTACACTGTAAAAAGTTATATAAAATTAAGAACAACAAGAAATGATTGACTACTTTTAATATCCACTTTTTCTATTTTTGGCCGGGTTGCACAGGTGCAAACCCGGGTTATAGTATGGTGAATGTCGGGCGGCGGGCGGTGGGCGGCGGGGAAAAAAATTCGTAACAGTTTTCTCAACAACTACGTTTCACAGCCTCTTGATATTTGGTATACAGCATTAACACACGGTCCCATACCGTGGGATTCGATTTCAGGTCTTTCCTCATCCACTTCCTGTTTATCCACTTAGTTAAATTAGTTAGATTTTTTGACATTAATGGTCAATGGTAGGAAATTTTCGTAACAGTTTTCTCAACAACTACGTATCACAGTCTCTTGATATTTGGCATACAGCATTGGCACATTGTCCCATACCGTTGGATTTGATTTAAGGTCTGTCGCTCATCCACTTCCTGTTTATCCACTTAGTTAAATTAGTTAGATTTTTCGACATTAAAGGTCAATGGTAGGAAATTTTCGTAACAGTTTTCTCAGTTACTACTTATCACAGCCTCTTGATATTTGGCATGCAGCATTGACACATGGTCCCATACTGTGGGATTCGATTTCAAGTCTGTCGCTCATCCACTTCCTGTTCACATTAATGGTCAATGGTAGGAAATTTTCGTAACATTTTTCTCAGAAACTACTAATCACAGCCTCTTGATATTTGGCATACAGCATTGACACATGGTCCCATACGGTGGGATTTGATTTTAGGTGTGTAGCTAATCCACTTCCTGTTTACCTACTGAATTAAATTTTCGACATTAATGGGTCAATGGAAATTTTTTTTCGTAACATCACAGCCTCATGATATTTGGTGTACAAATGCAACCCGGCCTTTTCTGTCTTTGACCCATTTTTCATGTAAATAATCCAAAATCACATTTTTAATCCAATTTTTAGTTTTAAATTCCACATGTCCGAAAGTTTTAAATACATAAAAAAACTAACTTTAACATATACTAAGAAACCTTTATATACAATCACTTTTCCCGCCAAATATATGAAAGACACGTAAAATACATGACCAACGGAGTCAAACACCGTTGATGTAACAACAGATGTTTACCGGCGGTGATTGTACGTTACAATAAGAACGGAATAATATGTATATCAAATTAATGTATATTACACCGTTGCTAAACGGATACTTTACAGCAACACACAACACCGTTGCATATGAAAAAGAACATAAGCATATTGAGTAAATTCATTATATGAGTTTATCATATAATTAACTTTAACACAAGAAAAAACTAAACATTTATTAAATATTATAAATTATTGCGATGTTCGCGACAGTAACATACTATTTTACTTAACACGCTACAAATTCAGGCGATACCAAATTCTAAATATACCATGAGCATTTCTATCCTTTACTTATATGCACATTTTTGCATTAATTTCAACAGCATCAAACTGTCAGAATGGGATACATGAAATTTAGTTAATTTCTTCTCAGTTGGAACACCATTAAATGTTTTCTTTTTGTATTTCACCTGAAAAGGCCAGTTTGAAAACACCTCATTTACTAAAGGGTTGCATTAAACAAAATATTTTTACTTCACTGTTTTATCAATAAATATCAAAGAAAATACATTTTGTATGTTTAATTCGAAAACGAAAATTGTGAAGTTTTGAAGAAATGTAGTAAAAAGAAAAAAGTCAAAATGGTACCTTGTGACTTGGTCATTACTAAAGTTAATATCGTACATGTGTAGCTACTGTAGTTATGATACGATCTCTTATATCTGAGACGTGTTCACTCACGTATACAAAAGAGTATTGGCAATTAATGAGGTGTTACATAAATGCTAAATGTAGTAAAAAATAATAATTATTGTACTCGGTGAGCATTCAACTTTACTTCAGCTACATTTCGTACTGTATAAATCTATTAAGGAATTCTTGATGCGGTAAAATACTACTTGACGTCTCACAAATAAGACTATGCTAGGTGAATATAAGAGTATCACACATTTAAGTGGTTGATATTTTTAAACCCACTTTAACTTTCACAGGGTACATTTATATTGTATTCATCAATGCTGCAAGTATTTGATAATTTCAGAAAAAAGCCAAAGCTATATTTAGTAATAATCATGTATTGTGACACCGGCCTGTTTCGCTCCTGTAAAAACTAAAAACCAATATTTTGTACAAGAACTATCTTTAATTGCTTCATGAATGTTTTGTTCATATTAGAATGACACGGTCTAGTGTCTAACATGGTAACAAGTTTGAAAAAAGTTTCATATCGTTTTAAAGCAGTCTATATTTAACCCACGCTTCAATTTCCTGGAAATGTAAGCATAACATACCTATATGAATTTCAAGCATTTATGTTATTGCATGCCATTTCTTTCTGGTGTTAATCAGTAGAGGTAAATATTCTTTTAATAAATAAATACATGCATATGTAAGTACTATCCAATCGTACCTTTGTTTCAAACAACATTATTCACAACATATCACATGTTTGTTAACGAAATCATAACGAATTAGCTAGCTCACAGGAAAACACAAAACTTGGTAGTTGTCGGTGCCGAATGAAAACATACGGCATCACCATCTCTCACACGTGCCACTGATCTATATTGTCGAGAGCGGATTTAAGGTAATCAAAATAAAATATATCCCGATTTTTATTCTGGTTGCGATAATAATTTTACAGGAAGTGCTTAAATATCCATTTTATGTAATTACGCTGAGTGCTAAGCAACTGCGATATTTACGTGGTTATTATATTGGCTGGATCAAATTCATGTGATGACAAAAAGATGCGCTTGTTTTATTTTGTATAGAATTTTGGCCGGAACTCGAGATGAAATTAACGCCGTATCCTTACACATCACAGGAAAGAGTACATTATTATATTCATGAATTAATGATACTTTGGGGATTTTTTTGTTAACGTTGTCAAAATAGCGGAAAACAAGTTTGATGTTTAAGACCGGTAATAATATGAAAATTATTCTGGCATGAATTAAACCGCGGTGTATACAAGTGCGAAACAAGAAGGAAAATCACTCACATAAGTCCAAGTGTCTTTGATTTCAATGATATTATATAATTTAAAAAATAATTAACAATGAGTTGATTGCATGATGTTGAAATCTTCTATCTCACATAGCAATATGCTGCAATTATTTTTATTTTTAATTGGCCAGAACAAAAAATGCAAAAGTTTTTCATGTAAGATTTATTTGTTATTTTAGCAGTAAAAATAATTAATTATATATCTGTAATATATATGTATTTTAAACAACCTGAATATTGAATCTTTAAAAATGTTCGAAGAATACTATTCCGCTGATTATGAAAATATTATTATCAAAAAGATACATATATTTTATATCATTATCCCAAAGTGACATTATACCCACCCAAGTGTATAAATAAGTGAACAGGTGGAAGTCAAAATAAGTTTTCATTTTGCCATAATTTCTTTCAATATAAACAATTATTTCACATTAACAATGGATCGAAACATTTTTTTCGTAAATATCCATAAGAATTTACCTGTAACGTTCAGTTCATAAAAAGAGTGGGACAGTCTTTTCATTTTAATTTTATCCAAAACATTTTCCAATATGAACTGTTGGTCAATCAACATTTTAACAGTCAATATTTTGAAATATATAGTCAGTTAAGTTTATTTTGAAAATATCAGAGTTGTCTTAGTTAAATATATTTAATATTTAGCAGACACAACTTCGTAGTGAAATATTTGCTTTGTGACAAGATAATAAAAGACAATATTTGGCACATATATAATAGTTTTAAGAGTTTTAAGAGTAAAAGATCAAGAGAGATTATGAGAATGAGATATCATGAATGGAAGCTCAGGTATACAATAGTGTCACAGTTCTTCTTCGATGTCGAATTGGATACACTAAAATTACCCACTCTTATCTCCTCACAATTGACAATGCCCCTTTCTGTGTAGCTTGTATTGAAAATTTTACTGGTAAGCATTTTCTTCTTGAATGTCATGATTTTTCACAGGCCCGTAAAAGACTTTATTGTGTAAATTCGCTCAAAGAACTCTTTAATACAATTCCATAAAAAAACATCATTGATTATTTGAAAGCGTTAATTTAGTCTACAGTCTAATTGACTCATTTTTATTGTCATTTACAAAGTTTACATAACATTTTAAGACTATTATAGCATTCGGCACGATATTGCCAGTTATGTGTTGACGTGCAGTAAAAATCCAAACAAACAAACAAACAAGTTGCCTTAATCAACAGGCAAATCTGGCCCTAGCACCTTTAGATATGGTACTTCGGTCACATTTGTAAGATCGTTTTCATTTATCATTGTATAGGTTGGATCGAGTCTATCACAAGGCCAAGGTGTTACAACTCAACAACAGATCACCCTGGATCAGATTTAAATTTGCTCAAGTTATTGATATCATGATTACAGACCCATTCTAGAGGATTAAATTTTTGTTTTGTTTGTTTGTTTGTTTCAATTTACGCATTTTCCCAACAGTATGTCAGTCATATAGGCGGGTAGTTTCCTCACCATCGTTCCTGTAGCTAGAGGATTTAAAGTATATATTACTTGATAGCTAATAACAAAATAAGAGATGAAAGACTTGTGATGATAAGAAACTTAATAAAGATTAAACTAAAATTCTGATTACTTTTTATATGCATTTGTACAATTTAATATGATCAAATACGAACTATTTATTTTGTGAATTGTACATAAATTAATAAATAGATAAATAAATAAATAGGATGATTCCTTGTATTAAAGATACAGCTGGAGAGACAGTGTTTAATTGATAAACAATAATAGTAAATCAGGCGAAATTGCAACTTCATAATCTGAAGTTATACGCTTATAGCGTTTAGCTCAACTGTACGAAATATCCCTTTCTGCAAGAAACAGGGTTACATGGTGATAATTCTATACACCGATGACTGTAAGGATGTTTTTCATGAATGCAGGGTACCATTATGGCATGTGACAATGTTAACATCAATAAACGTAGTTGTTCCTTTAGATAAACAATATGTAGATATTAATACATGTATATCATTATATACAAATATCGCGGTACGAGAGTCAAGTACGACGGAACTTATCGGCTGAAGATGTACTAGTTAATTCTCACGAAATGAAATATTTAAATCTAATTAAAAATCCATATATAGAAATCATTGTGATGATAGAGATAACGAATTACCGATACCATAAATTCTGGTTGTAAAGTATTCATCAACTGCGAACAGAGATGGAATAGACTTGAAATAAGCTAAAGAAACAAACACACTGTCAACAAAACAATACTTGAAATAGTTCAGTCTCAATTTATACCTTCAAACAGCAGTTCTTTTAAATGAGCCCTATAAAAACATTTCATTTACGGCAAAAAAAGTATGCCGAGTTCTGTCCAAACTTATGATGTAAAAAGATATATGAAAAGTTAAATTTATTGTTTTAAATGTATCTACGTACCAGTTTTAAACTCAGCTTCATTGTTCCAAAAAAAAAGAAATAGGTATTATCTATAAAAAATCCAAACACCGATGTACGTAAACTCGTCTTCAATATATCATTCAATTTAACCTCAATCGTTGAAACAAAAAAAAAACAACAACAAAAAACTTAGTTTAACAAGCAGGAAGTTTAAAGATCTGTTCAAGTGTGCGGGTTATATAATAAGAGGGTCAAGAAGCACTACCATCATTATTTATTATCATATCTTAACGGTTGAACAATTATATTACTTAAAGTGTATAAAAACAATTTTTAATTTTGAGAAAAAATCTTATATTCTTTTTATCTCATAAACCCATTACCCGATATACACGCCTTCAACGCATTGTTACCCGATCCCCTATTTGTTGTCTTAAATAGTGAAAAATGCCTTATTTAGGCCCCCATCACTTGTTTTTTAGAGATGTTGGGGTGTGGCACTTCTGTTTGGGTGGGGGTTTGAAGGGGGCGGTAGTCCTCCTCATCGCCAAGAAAATTTTGGACTTGTGAGAGGCTAAAATGATCCCAGGTCGATCATAAGGTAATGTGTAACCAACGCTGAAAAGCCTTTGACGCTATCTCAATCCATTGAGAAGTTGCAGCACTTTGAAATCAATTTTGATGGGAAAAAATCAACTCAAAATAGTGATTTTTGGCAATTTTGAGTCGTCCCCTCGTTGTCATAGTACCAGAAAATTCAAGACTGAGGCAATTATCAAGTCTACCAAGTTTGAATAGTATTGAAGCAGTTTTTATAGTTTCATAAAATTTGAACTTGTAACGAGAGACTTTTCAATGAAAACAGCCATTTTTCACAAAATGCTAATGAAGTTATTGGTTAAGAGGAAATGGAACATGCAAGAAATAATTGAAACCCTATTACAATAGGAACAACATATTCTGTTATTAAAAATATTGAGAACCCTTTACACTTAGAGTATACTGTAATGACATGGTGGTTTTATTTATGCCACTGGCGAGCACTGCAAAAAATTTATATTATAGATATACGGAAGTGTACGGAATTCCGTATCAATTATATCAATTATATGTGTGTGGGGGGGGGTAAAATGCGAGACTGGACCATATATGAGCTCGTATATGACTAATATATGATGATTTGAGATAACGGGGCGAGAACGAGGCTTTATAATAAGTCCGTATATTACTTAAAACGAATTTCAATATTCCTGCAAATGCGGATTCTGAATATAGAAATAGAAAATTACATATTTATTTACATAAACAGGTTTTTCATATTTATTGTAACATAACTGATAGCTTTTGGAATTGAATTGAATTCCATTGTTGTGTTATAAAATGTATAAAATGATAAATATTTACTATTTGGATATTCTAATAATATAAGTCTCGAAAATTAATGTTGAAAAAGTTCTTATGTCTATATTATGGACATTTGCTTGATGAATAATAACATACTGTTCTTTGAACATTTTATAACCTGCTTAGCATTGGGAGAATCAGATTGTATGACAACACCAATATTTTAACGTGTTTTTGTTATGTTTGATACTCAGAAATATCAAGGTTACGACTTTAGCTCCGTTCCTCTACAGTGGTTTTTCTCTATCGATTATATCATATACATTTAAGTGTTAAATTTCCTTGCAAACTAAAAGACCAAAAATAATGTAGTTTATAAAATATTCATACAAATAATTAAGTGTAGAAACATCAAAAGACGCATTTACAACTCTTACAATTTTAAAGACTAGATATGTTATTCCAGTTTAGAGTCCAATGTGCTGTAGCTGTTTTTATTTTTATTTATTGTTTATTATAAACCTATTATTCACAAGTTCAATTGATAAAGTTATAGCAAAATGAATTATATATCAATTTGTATGCCATGATTTATAAAGTATATTAAATTGCTATACAAAATGTTTACATTATGTTACGATGCTTTCCCTTACCTCACTGAATCATTCATTGTGATATCATCGACAGAATAACACAATTTCATACCTTTTTCTAAACAAATTAACCAGATAAATTAATTATTGGAATTTAATTTGAAATTGATATGTACAATTTTCGTTGTTTCACGTCATCGTTTTATATTGTCTAATACTTTATAACATACATAAAACTTCATTTTGAAAACGTTATTCACTAGAACAATGTTGATGTGCTGTTAAAACCAACCAGAATTTACCAGAGAAATGAAATGTTGGAATCTTATTTTGATGTGCGTGTTCGCATGTTTCACGTCATCATTTATTCTGTCCTATTTCACATGATCATACATTAAGCTTCTTTTTTGAAAACGTTATTCACTAGAACTGTGTTGGTGTGCCGTAAAACGAACCAAACAATGAAGCATTTTTCATACTTTCATAGCAGTTTGAACTTTTAACAGGATGCAAATGCAATTAAACTTTAAATGTATTCAATCATAGAAACAAATGTCTATCAAGCTTTAAAAAAACAGAACAGAAGTTTTACTACTTAGTTTAAGCATAACAAGCACATCACCAAATTACATATACAAATACCACATATAATACATAAATGACACATGACCTGAACATATATAACTGAAAAATAATGGTTTATGAAACATTATTATGTTTAATGAGATAAGAAAGTACTTGAAAAGAATTTGAATACATACATGATATGTTATGCTGAAGAATTTTGTCTATCTTTACCTAACATTATCAAATTTAACTACAATACATTTTGTTTTATATTTGAGAAATTCAGTAATGCATTTCAATATAATCAACAAAAAAGAAAACATGCAGTTTTAATGAAAAATAGTGATTGTGACAAGGGAAGGGAGATAACTTAGGTAACTTTATATAACAAATATGTTAGCATTTACTTTCCTTTGATAATTCGTGATAAATTATAATAATTGATTTCATTTCTGCATGAAATATAAAATAAGTAAGGAAGCTTAGTTAACGGATTTTCGACTGTTTTAATAAAAAAAAAGAATTTGCAACAACAACAACAAAAAAAGAAAAGATAATTAATTTGACTTTAAAACATGCCCAAAATGTCTTGGAGAAGTCTCCCTTTGATTAAAAGTCGTCTTCAATTGTTCAGATCTTCAGAAAAAAATAAAGAAAACAACACTGAGCAATATCTTAAAATACAAATATTATTTTTTATTTTCGAAATTAAGCTTTTATTGTATTTTTAGATATTTATATTAGATTTAAAGTTTATTTCAGAACGACTTGTTTTAATACCTTTGTAGATATGTTATTGATATAAAGGTATAGATGAGGTTATAGAAGAGTGCAGACAGAAATTGATTAGCCCACGTGTCTTGCATGGTTATGGTATTTTTTGGACATTTTTTCTGAGCAAGCAAGGCTATTTACAGTTTCGTTTCAGAGATCCTAGAGACGTAGGGAGCCGTAGACATAGGACTGAACAATTTATATTTTTGCTCTTATGGTTCATTACATGAACTTTAATAAACTAGCTAGTTAAATTTTCTCGGAGATTTTTTTTTCTATTTATTTATTTATTTTTTTGAAGCCCAACAGGTAACTTCGTTTATTGTCCCCGTCATGGGTAAAATAGGGTCGGGGATCCATCCGCTATTTCACCTTACAAGTTTACTTACAAACAATATACATATATATATATATATACACACACACATATGACAAGGACAACATAATTATGTAAATTATAAATTATAAGACTTCATGGGCTATGAAATTATGACATGCTACATAATAATGCAACAAGGTTAGTAGATAAAATATATATAATCAAGTACACACAAGTATTGTTTCTTACTTATACAATGTATATGATAAAATATATATATTAATATAAAGTCACATTGATTGAAAATAAACAACAACAAAAAACAAAAAACAAATAGAAAAAAATCAACGTTGTTCGTATAGAGGCCTGTATGTATGTTTCTTATTTAGGTTGTCTGATTATATTTTAAAAATCTTTTATGTTGTTATAATTTCCTTATCGGTATTCTGATATAAAATATAAGGTTACTCATCATCAAGGGATAATTTCTGAATAAAATTTTGCCACAATTTATTAAAAGAAATCACATCTCCATTTAAAAAAAGCTATATATTCTTGATTTTTTAATTTTCTTTTTAAGTATATTAAAAACATAATTATTTATATTCAAGTAATTTTGACAATTTTCTCTAAATTTTGTTTTATAAACATAGTATTTTGCTAATAATGTTACAAAAATCAAAATAGAATGTTTTCCATTATACGAGAACAGTATGCCTTTCATGTCTGAAATATCACATTCGACAAAACACTCTCTAAGCCAGTCTTACAATTCTAAAAGAAACGTATTGGTATACGGGAATTGATAGAATAAATGTTCAATCGTTTCTCTATCAATGTTACAATATGAACATACATTTTTATCTCTAATATCTATTCGATGTAAAAATGTATTTGTCACAAGACTTTTTTGATAAATCTTATACTGAAAATCTTTCAATTTTATCTCTTTCACAGTATTTAAACTTGTACAAGAATCTAAAAAACTCCTTCTGTGATATAGGTCCTACAGAATTAACCCATTTGTTAGAAACAACTAGATTGTCAGCGTCAATAAGGATATCATAAAATAATCTGCAATTTTCTCGGAGATTTATTAATTCTCTAGTGAATAGCTTATTCAATATAAGAATTTATCGACTGAGCTATAAATGACATTCTATAAGTTTTGCACAAAACATCTGTAAATTATGTTCAGTGCTCATGATATATCTTATGATTATTGATGTGTCCAATGAATATAAATTTCAAGGTTTCGATATATTTTTGCACATTAATAAAGTATAATCTAATTACATGGTACTTGTAAGTGTAAGGTACACTCACAGAATCACGTCATCATATCTTTCAGTGTTTACTAGATCTTAAAATTAAAAGCTGTGTCAAAACTCCGAATTAACCTGAAAGCAGTTTTATTTCGTCCGTGTATCTTTTTTAAAGATACTTCTTGTTTGTATTCTTCAGTGTACTGTTCTAACTTGTACATCTAGCAAGATGAAAACCTGAACCCTTCAATGAATTGTGTCTGTGGCAAGATAGTCAGCAAATTTTCTTACCAAATTTATTTTTTTAGCCAAGGTAGATAACACTGTTCTGTTGAATCCGTCACGCTTCTGTGTTGAGAAAGATAATTTTAGGCGCAGATTTAAAATAATGGCGCTGCTTCTAGCTTTGGTTTAACCATATTTCATTTAAAATATTTGTACATGTTTAAATAACAGCAACAACACAATAATTATATTTTAGCCGAAAACAGAAGCCTATAGAAACATCTAGCTTTAATATCATTTACTAAAGTTACAGTACCTTGCTGTCTTGCATTGCTAGAAAGTATATCTCCTTAAAACAATAATGGATTATTATTTGAAGCTCGAACCCTTCTAGCATGGCGACAGCCTGAATGATTTGGCCGCATGTATGACACTGTTGCTATACAATCGGAATGGCTAGACAACTTTCCTCGAATCCCTGGTTTGGCATATATGCACAAGTCTAGCAAAGCATATTTTGCACTGCGAGTTCAGCTATATAGTTATAACTGTTATGATTTTAATGGCAACACCATAAGCCTGCCAAGCAGCCTGTACAGGTTGAATGATGAAACCACTCTGATATCATTGAATGTATCTTAAAACGACAAATTCAGATGGTTCTGATGGGCGTCTTGATTTTCCGTGATATGTTGGATAACACGTTTCCTGTTCTCCTCCATATCTTCATTGTTGAGCTGTACTGTGTTTAGACTTGCAGTATTCACTAAATTCTGCATATAACTCCTGCTAAGGGCTGGTCTATTGATTGATGTTTAATAACAAGTTTACTTTCTCAATCCCAACAGATGTTTTCTGGAGTTCCGAATCAATTAGCATGGCGATAACCCTCGCGTTACTTCGAGGCCACTTAGTAAATGTCTCCATCTTGCTTGTAATTAATTTGCAGGATGTACACGGGAATTGTTGTCTAGAGCAAAGTCCAAGTTTTTGCTCAGAGAGTAATGTGATGTAAAACTTATCACATTTCTGATTCTTGAATAATATGTTTCATAATTGCAATTTGTTTGTTAAAATTAAGCGATATATTTTCTAGCAGTGTTTCAGAGTTATTGTTTATCTGCAGACATGTCTGTGACCAAAGAACTAGTTAATTAGTTCAATGTAACATTTAACCTTTTTGTTTCCTCTTGATAATTCAAGTATTAGTGTGTTTCTTTCCTATATTGTTTATCAACATTTTACGAGAATAATGGTTTCATTTGTTAAGTACATGTTTATACAAAACATTGTATTATACGAGAAGTAAGATGAATGGCTATCCCATGATAATTAAATCATTTTTTTCCAATACGTAAATTATGAATTGTGCTGCAAAATCCTGTTTCAATATTCTTAAAAGTAGAACTAACTGGTTGTATTTTCTTATGAGGTTACTTTTAATTATTAAACATTTTATCCAACAAACTGAGGGTCTTACCTTATATTATTGAGAAATTGTACTAATCAGTGTATTTATAAGCCTGATTATTTGGTTGGTTGGTAACATTTTAATACTTTTAATCATTAGACAAGGATATTTGTACAAAACTCTCTAGGTCTCTTGACAGGGTGAATATACACATAGTTAAATAGTTAATGATTATAGTAACTGGTTCCTCAATCTTCTTTTATTTTATTTTTAAGCAAAGATGTTATATGTACAGTCACTAAATTTGAATGGTGTTTTATTTTTATCTTTACAATTATGCGAAATAATTTTATCCAAATTATGATTTTATGGTTTAAGAATATATTGCTGTCTATTTTTATGGTTTTAAGGAAGAGAAGATGACTAGGGTTTTCACTGTAGAGGAATAGTACCAGAAATTCTTTAAGTCTTTTAGAACAAGATTAGCAATAGTTTTCTATATTAAGTTGTAATATGCATATGAATAGGGAATGAGAAGAGAGGTAACTCTGTAAGTTATATTGGAAATTCTTGCAGAGTTGTCTCCCTTCCATCAGATGTGTTTACAGTTTTATTTAAATTGGCTAACTTGTTATCCAGTTGCTACACTGAGTGAATACATAGTTACTCAGTCTGGTTGACCTGGTTTGCACAAAAAACATGTGGTTATGAGTGTGATACTGTTTGTGAGCATTTGACCTAGCAATTAATGGAAAAGGTCTGGCTAAATGTTCCGCTACGAATAACCGGAAAGATCCAATAGAATGGCCATACATAAATAACTTTTATTTTATAAAATTATGTGTAATAGTGCCGGTTTATTTATAAAGTGGTTCAATTTGTTTCCCGGCCCAACACTCATTTGGCCACATTTGGAAAAGACTAAAAATAAAATGGAAAAAAATTACTATACGGACGCCCTTCGGTGTCACAAATATATCTTTAAAACGGAAACTTTCCCCGGGTTTCCCTCTGAACTCTTAATTGCCAACCAGTGGCTGGGAAATGGTGGTTTTTAGGACGCTCCCTTTTAAAATTTACTCTTATTAAGTTTAATTTTATAACAAAGGGACTTTTAAATTTTAACTTTTTACGGGGTTTTTATTAAAAGGGAAAAATTTCCAAAGACTTTTTTTAAAAACGAAAAATTCGTAAAAATTTTATTAAAAAAAAAGAAAATTGAAAAAGACTATATAATTTTAAGCAAAATTTCTACCAAACCCAACGAAGTGATTTTTTTTAAAAAAAATTTTTCTAAGTATTTTTTTAAAAAAGTTTAGCCTAAATTCTTCAAATATTAGATTTAAAAGAGATTTTAAAAAACTATTAAGTTTTTGAAAGAGTCCCCAAAAGCTTTTTAAAGGATTTTGAATTGAACTGACCTGTCGGCCAGCCCCAAGAAAAAGATTTTTAATAAAAAAATTCACCCGGTATTTTATCCCCCTTTTTGGTTAGTCTTTTGCCCAAATGCTTAACTAAAAGGACTGAAAAGTAAAAAATTTATTTCATAAAAAAATTTTCGGGAACAAATTTCGAATTTTTTTAAATTTCAAGTGGACCAATAAAAATCTAAATCTAAATCAAAAAGGCCAATCAAAGGGACTTTAACAAGTTTAAACTTTTGGGGGAAAAAGGAACCCAAAAAATTTGGGGACAAAACAAATTGAATGTTTTTGAAATTGATAACTAAAATTATTTTATCAAAATATGGTTTTTATTACATTCCCCCTTTTCCTTTAAAAATTTAAAAAAACGTGTGGGTTCAAAAAAAAGGAATACCAAAAAAAATTTAAAAGGTAGTATTTAACTTTTAAAAGGGGAAAAAAAAAGGGTTTTATTTTTACCCCAAAAAATTTAGATTTTAGATATTTTAACAAATAAATTTATATCAAAATTTGTACGGATAAAAGGTAAACATAAAAAATTTTTAAATAAAAGCAATCAAAAATTTCTTCAATGAAGAATTTTTTTTGTTCAGAACTTTATTTCAAAAAAACTTATTAAAAAACAAAAATAAGTCCCCACCCCTGAAATGAAATGATTATTAAAAAAAACTTTTTTTAATTAAAAAAATTTAAACAAGGAATTATTAACCCAACCCTTTTTAAAAAAACCAACCAAAAATAAAAACCCAAATGTAAAACCCCAAATTTTCACCAATTTTAAATTTTTATATAGTTTTGCTTGGGGTTTTGAAATGGAAATTTTTAAGACTGTAAAATTCTTTCCAAGATAATTTTAGCTCAACATTCCTGTTGTACCAGTTGTCCAAAATCTCATTCTGTGCCCGTGCCTGTCTCTCCGGTCTGTCTCTTTCTTTTCGCTCCTCCCTTTCCTGTACCCTTCTCAATTCCTCCTCCTCTCTTTTCCTTCTTTCCTGATCAGCCTGTCTTTGATCCTCCTCAGGCCTTCTCTGCCGTTCCTGCCAAGTCAGGGTAAACAAATTTCCTGGCATTGACCTGGATCTCGATATGTAGGGTTGACTGCCCTCTCTTCTTAACAAACATGAGCTTTCCCGGCTGAAGAATTGTGTCTTTTAGCATCATACTTTCGTGTCAATACTTTTATACAAGTTACACAGACAAAGACTGTCCTCATGTAGATGTGCCTGTTCGACCAATGTTTCGCAAAGTCATTATACTTGGTAAAAAAGGTATCTGTCCTGCAGTTTGGCACTGGGCAGCATGCCCCCTGACGTGGCCGTATAGGTCTATCAGCCATACTTGATCAATGATAATGTATTGTAGAAATTGATTACAAACTGAAATATTGAAAAAACAAATAAATGATCATTATATCATGTATATAGTACATAAACAATAACAATCAATCAATACTTCATGAAATTACTCTTAATCATAGGAAAATATTCCTATTTTAATTAACACTAAGCATTGAACCCTAATATTTACATTTGCTAACATTAACTCTTACATATGTAACAGTTCTTTAAGCACAATTATCTTAATAAAACACAATCAATCCTGTGTTCATATTTCTTTTAATTTTAATAAAGTTAAATAGAAATATTTACATTCTACATAGTTCTAGGTCATGTAAAAAACATGTATACAACAAAAATGTCATATTATATAATTATATCAACTAGTATGATTGATATCATTTAATTTCCTAAAAGCAACTTTAATTGCTGAACCCACTTATTTACAGATTATGTACTATAATTAAGCCTTATGTCTTAATTGTTGACAGCTAAATGATTAAGCACCGTGTGCTTAAGTAAAAACCCTACATTGATAATATTTCTCTGGGTTTTATTTGTCTTTCACGCCTAGACCTTGGTACAAAAGGAATTTCTTTGTTTTTATTCTTTTCAATCATCTGAATTAATTTGAACATTTGTATTTTCATTTTCAGAACATAACATTTGATTAGGAGATTCAGACTCCAAATTTACATATTGATTTGCCCTTAACCAATTGCTAGGGGCATTTTTCCCTCATAAATTTTCAAGTGATCTACATGAACCGGAATAGGATTAGAATCCTCAGACTTCTGAATTTTATAAGTCAAATATGTAATTTTTCTCAAAACGAGATATGGGCCTATCCAACCTTGTTTCAATTTTTTATTTACAGAGGATGGATACCATCTCCAAACCCAGTATCCATTTAAAAATTCCCTAGGTTTTAAATCTCTTTCATAGTACTTCTTCTGCCTACTAGCAGCTATATTCAATTGGTCAAAAGCAAATTCATATGATTGTCTCAAAGAAGTTTTCACCCATTGAACATATTCAATTGGACATTCTACTTCTGTAGTATATAGTGGAAGTCCTACCATTAAATCAATAGGACAATCCAACTCATTCCCTAACATAAGTAAATTTGGGGTACAACCCATACTTTTATGTTGTGTAGAACGATAGGCTGCTAAGACATAACACAGATGGTCATCCCAGTCTGTTTGATTTTCTATAAGGGAAACAAAATGAGATAACATCTGCACTATAGTCTTATTAGCACGTTCAATCATCCCGTCCGATTTCGGGTTATAAGGACAAGTCCTAGTCTTATCAATATCTAATAAGGAACACAAACTTGAAAATAATTGAGACTCGAATTCTCTCCCCTGATCTGTATGTATTTGAGCAGGAAACCCATATTGTAAAAAACACCTGAGTAATAAGGGTATCCGCTACAGTATAAGCTGTATGATTTGGAACAGCAAAAGCCATTGTCCATTTAGTAAAGTAACACCCACAGACTATAATATACTCATTATTCTGGTTTGTTAAAGGGAGAGGGACCAAAATATCTATAGCTAAAATTTCCATAGGACGATGAGCCTTAATTTGTTTTAAGTGAGATTTCCCTTTCCCAGGGTCTGGTTTCTTTTTGCACAGCTTTCACACTGGCGAACCCAAAAGTGCTATGTATCATTAGCCATAACAAAACCATTTTAAAAACCCCTACTTTTAATTTCCCTTTTCTAAGTTCCCGTTTCTCGTCCCAAATGGCCAGACTATCTCGTTCTTTGAAGTTTCCCTTTAAAAATAAAATTTTCCTAATTTCCCTCAGGGGTTTACTAATTGATAAACTTTATTTTGACTTTAAAGTTCTTTAATTATAAAAAGTTTAACGGTTTTTTCAAGTTTTTCCCTTTTTTTTGCCATAATTTAATAAATCTGCGTGCAGATTTAAATGGGCCTGATTTTTTTTAGGTTTTTTGTTAAAAAATTTCTCTTTTTAACCAAATTATTTCAGACAAATTTTAGATGTCTTTTAAATTTTAAAAACTTTTTAAGTAATTCTTTACTGGACCAATGAAACAACCAGTTTTGGTTCAAGATTTTTTATTCGTGTCAGATTGTAATTGCGAATTACCTTGACCTATAGGGTTTATGCTAACATACTTGTTGCTTTCAATAATTTTTTGATTTTTGAAAAGTACTAACAAACTCCTGACAATTAGTTATTTTGCATGGCCTTTTTATTTTTCTAGAAAGATTATCTGCATTTAAATGCTTTGTACCTTGCCTATATTCAATGTCAAATTCATAGGCACCAAGAATATTTATCCAACGTGCCAGAATTCCTTCAGGCTCCTTAAATTTTTGAAGATATGTCAAACTTTTATGATCGGAGCGAACCAAAAAATTTCTTCCCCTATAGTGTTTATAATGTTGTATGAAATGAACTATAGCAAATAACTCCCTTTTTTGTTTGTACAATAATATCTTTGTGCGGGGGTTAAGAATTTTACTGCCATAAGCCAACACTTTTTCTTGTCCATTTTGAACTTGAGAAATTATTCCTGATATATAGAATCAGCGCTTGCGTCAGTATCCAAAATAAATTTACTACCATTTTCCTCAGGGAAAAGCCAAAATAGGAGGATTAACAAGACAAGTTTATAATTTCTCAAATGCCTCATTTTCACTTTACATCCCATTTAAATTTAGCATTCTTTCTTGTGAGTCTCGTTAGAGGTAATGAGATTTCGGCAAAGTTTTTGAATCATTTTCCTATAGTACCCACAGATACCTAGCCATGACATAACTTTTCATGTTTCATTAGTAGAGGTTGGCCAATATGTGTACTTTCTATTTTTTGATTGGTTCACAAGTAATTACCAACTAGCAGAAACTTTATGCCCTAAAAAATATAACTTCCTTTTGAAAGCAGTTTACATTGAGTTGACTTTAAATTTTAAAAGGGTTTTAGCATTTCTTAAAATTCTTTTTTGAATTTCCCAAAAAACAGAATTTTTTTTATGCTTCATTGAATTGTTTTTCCCCTTTTAAAATACAAAAAATCACAAAGTTTACACAAAAACATCTCTAAAAACCAAAAACCCGGAAAAGAAAAAGCTTTCCAAAAAAATCTCTAAAATATGCAGGGGAAATTTTTTTAAAACCGGAAATTTGGGCATAATTTTTAAAAAAGAAAATTTGGGCCCCTTCCCCGGGATCCGGGAAACTTGTTTTATTTTGAGCCCTTTACCCCTTTTAATTTAAAATTCCCAGTAACCGTTTGGCCAAAATCTAAAAAAGTGAAAAAATCCCCCCCTGTTTGAAAAAAAATTGGTTTCAAATTTTTTTCATCAATCCAAAGGAAAAGGGAAAGCATAAAAATTTTAGTTGCTAAAGTTTCAAACCCCCTTTAAAGTTTAAAAACCAAAATTCTTATTTGTTACCCTTTTTTTCTAACTAAAAAATTTTTCCTAAACACCCAAGGGGAAAATTTTACACGGTTCTATGACTTTCTTGTTCTAACATTTTTTGTCAATCTCGGGAATTAAACCCCTTCTTTGTAAATATATGGGATTCTCCAAAAGCCTTTCATTGCACGGGTTTTTTAAACCCAAAAAGTGTTAAAAAAAAAATGCTCAGAAAAATTTGTTTGGCCTTCCCTTTTCCCTTTCGGGGACCGGAAAAATATGCCCTTCAAAATGGGTTTAAAAGGGGATTTTGACCTCTTGATTTTTTTGTTTCCTTATACAGGTTTTTTTCCAAAAACCAAAAAACAGGACCCCAAATGTGTGGGTAAAACACAGTCTTTTAAAAAGTTTATCTAACTGAGAAAATTAGAATTTTTAAATTCTTGAAAAATTTCGGAAATTTCAGTTAATGAGCGTAAGACCCTCCCCATGTTTGGGTTTTCAAATTCACAGGCTGATCATTTATATTCATAACTGATAGAATTGTCTTATTTTCTTCAGTATCAATCAAAGATCGAAGCACTAAAATTTACCCTTATCTATGAAATATGTGAGTAGGGTCTAGTATATTATATCTGTTTAAGCAATTACCATTTATGGTTGCATTAATAGTCATTTCTACTCTAGCAGGATTGTAATTGTCTCTGATTCTTGTAATTTGGCACAAATTTACTGTGTGATAACAATGTATTTTTGCCCAGCTTAGTTTTGGGTTTATTCTTGGAAGCCTTTTATAGCATGAACATTGACAAAATAGACAAACTGGGGTTCCCCAGTATCAATTAACATTCCTCCTTAAGAGAAACCTAAGTCTACTTTTTACATAATAACAAGAAGTTTTGTCAACATTTTTAAGTTCTGAAACTAATTCACTTTTCCCAGAGTTATGTTTGATTAAGTTTTGGTCGGAAATGACAGATTTTTGACAACTTTCAGTTTTGAAAGCTAAAGGTCTACTTTCACTTTCGTTTTGAGAACGATATACTTTCTGACCCATAACTTCCAGTTTGGGTTGTATTACTTCTTGGCCTTCAATTTTACTAGGAATTTCTAGAGAAATAAGCTTTTGGTCATTTTTAACATCATTTGGAGGGGGTGTAACTATAATTTCTGGAATACACTGTTTACTAGATTTGTTTTTATAATTCAAATTTGAACTATACGTGATTATAGGCAAAGAAACTTTGGTAAGATTGTTATCTCCCTTAGATTGTGACTAAGTACGAACAAGTGTACGAGGTTCACTTATATGTCCATTTTGGAATTCTAGAGGCCTAACCAATTGAGAACTGACTGACGTTTTGGCCTCAACCTCAGTCTGACCTAGTTTCCCTGATTCAAAGCATTTCTTTTAGCAAAACAACGGCTCTCAATGTGACCTTTTTATGACAGTAAGTACACTGTATGTCTTTAAAGTTAGGTTTCTCATAAAAAGAATTTCCCTGTGTCATATGTTGATGATTTCTAGACTGGGAGTTATAATTGGTGTTTGTAGTAGAACCATATTTATTAATTTACACCTTGGTTGTGGGGGTACGCGTAGGGCTATTTACTGCGTCTCATTGAAGGCCTATCAATTACCAGTGTTTTTGATAAAATCTTGAGGAATTATTTGGCCTAAACTGAGTTCCATATGTTTTTTTTGTTGTAAGAATCAGTCATTTCTTGAAATTTTTGCTCAAACTTTTTTGATCAAATAGAGAAGGACATCATTTTGCTTAAATTCGTCTAAACTACAATCAGTCTTTAAAAATTTGTAGGTCTAAGGGACGCAACTGATGTTGACGAATAGCATTCAATGGACGAGTTAACTCCCTTTTCATCATCTAATGGTTTTGTTCATTTTATTCTACCGAACCCTGTTTAATGACATAAATTCTACGGCAACACTAATTGCGTGATCCAAAGTAATAGGATTGCGTAAATTGTACGTGCTTTTCTTAATTCAAAAGTACCTAATCCATGAATATATTGGTCGATTAATACGTGTTTCTAAAGCATCACTGTGCATTAAAGGAAATGCTTTTTGAGCTAATCTGCGTAGTGCATAACCATAGTCCAAAACGGATATACCCCTTGCTTTCTTTTCCGATTACGGAATTCAACAGCGAAAGGCAACTTCACGTTCATGTGGACTAAATCTTTGCATTAGCACACGTTTAATTTCCGAATAACTTGCAAGTTGAGAAGGGTGTAATGTAGACAGTAATCGCTGTGCTCCCCCCGCAAATTAATTGTTAACATGCATGCTTTTTTGTTTGATCATCCCAACTATTCCAGTTGGCTACTTGCTCAAAATGAATATAATCGGACCATTCACTAGTAGTACCATCGAAATGATCGGGACTTTATATTCCATAAACGAAGAATGGCCGAGTATTTGTTAATACCGAGTAACATAGTGTTCATCGGAGCACTATAAGTTCTAGGCATAAATGCGTTTCCTCGAGATAAAAATTACTCGGAAAACCTAACACTTTGCGAATAAAGATTCGAATAAAGTATGAGGCACTGGTGTCTGGCATGTATTAACCATAACCGGTGACGTAACGCTAACTAATGTTACGCTTTGGTCACTAAAGAAGGGTGAACTCTTCATATAGCTATAATGTCTAACTGTCACATTAGGAAACAGTATAATCAGTTTTTTTAAAGGGGAAAGCACTGGCTTTTTTATTCAAAATCAGTCCCTTTAACCCACGGATAGACGTATCTAAGTTTCATCTCGAGCACTTCCTGTATATACAAAGGGTAAGCTATGACTATCACCAAATACGTAATAATCACCCCGAACAGTAGGGGAGTGTGAACTAAATCTTACTTTCGGAGTACTAAAACTCTTGTCTAAAAGTAGGGGAACCAAGAAATGAATCAGACCCATAAGAAGTATTATGGAAAAATTTCCCTATACCTAGGACGAAGAATGCGTGTTAACTTGTGTCCTTCCGTTTCATGAAAGACCTTACATCAGGAGTACATGTAGGTGTGTTTAAAGTTAAAGTTCTCGTGCGTGACGTATTCTGAGCATCGAACCCCGTAGTATCTATTACACGGGTACTGACCATATCTACTTTCTGAATTATATATATATCGGTAAAATTTCCCTCAGCCATACTTAAATGATAACACTTATAAGTAAAACAAAATGAATTTTATATCTTAGTTGTTACTTCAACTTTTAACCATAGAAAGACGTTATTTAAAGTTAAATCACATTAAATAAAAATTTGTTATATTATTGTTCATACAATTTAAATAGTTAAACTTTAACAACAAACAGACCTTTATGATACTCTTACTTAGAGCTTTTTTTTTTTAACACAATATTTTTTACAAGTGGTCTTGGAATAAAGTTTTCAACTTAGTATAACTATATATTTTATTTTATAATTAATCCTATAAAATTAAATTTAATTTTGTTTTTTAACTTTTATAGTAAACCCTTAAAATGTTTCTATTTTAATTCAACTAATATCCTATTCACAGGAGCGTCCACCTAAATTGACAATTACTTTACTTATATTTTGATTGAATTTTTATTTTTATAATCAATACATTTATTCTATACACCACCAACTTATAACCGGTTTAAACGCATATTCACACCTCGCGCTATACACCTAGCAATATTTACTCGATGAACCGTTACGTGAAAAATACCACACGACTTATCGTGCGTAAAGTAAAATTTAGCAGACGATATACTAACGTAACACATAATATTATTTTTACATAATATTATGTAAAATAATATTATAAATAACTTAATTTAAAAACAATGATATGAAAAGAAATTAAGTCTTTACACTGACAACACTGCAAGATATTTCAAAATAACGTTAATTTCCCGAAATATTATTTTTATAATAAGTATGTCATAAGAACATGTTTGATGAGAAAATTATGTTATGGTTTTCTTATGACAGTCGAGCATGTTGTGTGAATTTACAGCTATTTCATTACTGTCAAATATTACAGAATATATGTTTTACTCATTCTGTCATCTGAGAATTTTCCTACGTGTTATTCTGCTGCTGCAACTACTACTGCTACTGCTACTGCTAATACTACTACTACTGCTACTGCTGCTGCTGCTGCTGCTGCTGCTACTGCTCCTACTGCTGCTACTGCTACTGTTACTACTACTGCTACTGCTACTACTACTACTACTACGTCTACTACTACTACTACTGCTGCTGCCTCTGCTACTCCTACTGCAACTGCTGCTGCTTCTACTTCTTCTGCTACTGCTTCTGTGACTGCTACAACTAATACTACTACTACTATTACTGCTACTATTACTGCTACTACTGCTACTACTACTGCTACTACTACTACTACTACTACTACTACTACTACTGCTACTGCTACTGCTACTGCTACTGCTGCTGCTGCTGCTGCTGCTGTTGCTGCTGCTGCTGCTGCTGCTACTACTGCTACTGCTGCTACTTCTGCTACTACTGCTACTAATACTACTACTACTATTACTACTATTACTGCTACTTCTTCTACTACTACTACTTCTGCTACTGCTATTTCTGCTGCCACTGCTACTTCTACTTCTACTACTACTGCTCCTAATTATTCCAGTTTTACTTCAGCTGCAGTAGAAGATTTACACTTTAATTTAGATTAAGGAAAATATCACACACATGTATACCACGGACACTCCAAACAGGAGTATAACTGAGCATTGTGTACATCGATATTTGAGAGAGACCGGAGTGTATACAATGTATAAATTGAGTGACAATTGTCAAAGTGGGTAGTGGTTGAGTGCGTAAGACGGCTTGAAGTTGTTGAAATCCTGTCATGCTTTATATAAAATTAAGAGGGAAAACAAATTCCTTGAAATTAAATCATTCAACATGATGAAGCAAGCATGCCTCAAGATCAATTATTATCTACTTATCTTTCATAACAATAAAGAAAATGTATTATAAACTAAAATATTTTGACCAGTGTTTTAAAGGAAGATAATTTACATATTGCATACAATTCACATACATAACCAAAATAGGCAAAAATAGCCCCTACTGCATTAGTCACGATGTAGACATTAGGTGATATTATATTTTGTCAAAATATTTTGCGTTGTAATTTCAAATGTAGTGTGTCAAGTCGTTGTAATAGTTTATGCTAATAAGTGGAAAGTATGGGTTTTGAAATCTGGAGATAAAACCCATATCACTCAGAGTAGATCACTTATCACTGAAAACTTTGCCGATTTTTTTTGTACCCTACGTATTATTTCATGTTTCCGTAAGGTCATAAAACTGTATTGTTTTTCTTATTCTTTAAAGCATATTTCTTGATTCAATTACAATAACTGCGCTAAAATGATAAATTTTCACAGCAATAATAACTATAAGCTGTAATTTCTTTTTGTTTTGTGCGCAGTAGTACGCGTGACTTCATTTTCCTTACAAGGGCCCATTTCCCTTGCCTTAATGAAAATACTTAAAGTAATAATAATAATAATAAATATTAATAATATTAATAATAATAATAAAATATCATGTATATATATTGAATGTAAAGGTTAGATATTTTTATTCATTAATCCGACTGACACTCATATTAATTATAGTAATTATAGAATAAACTCGTAATGATTAAACAAAGGTGAAAAATGATGATATCAACATTTACAGCAATTTAAGTATAAATGGTCAATTTTATCATAAATAAATTTTAAAGTTTTTTTTGAAGATTGTAAAGTTGAACATTGTTTGATAGTAAAAGGTAATTTATTCCAAACGTCAATACTGGAATATAAGAAAATAAATTCTTTAAATAATTTGTATGAGGTCTTCTTTGCAGAACAATATCTTTATGAACGATTGAGCGTAAATTATGTTATTCATTGTGAGAGAAACTAAAAACTTCACTCATATATAACGGTGCCAGATCTTTCTTAAAGATTTATACACCATAATTGCTGTATGGGTATTTCACTCTGAAATTGAATTTCAGCCATTTAAGTTTATTAAAAAGATCTAACGTTGGTGAACGTATCGGTCTATTAAGTATATTTTTTGCAGCTATTTTTTTGAATTGAGTTTTACTTTATAGATGTATGAGTATGTGTCCTTTCCCTATACCATACAACAATAATCAAGCACACGAAGGATGTACGCGTTGTAATATATCTTTTTTATTTCGTCAGTAAGCGCTCAAAAATGATATGTTTGAAGAGGGCAATTATTTTTGTATTTAGTTCTTTGCAAACAGAGTCAATTTGATAATGCCAGTATAATGTATTATCTACATAAATGCCCAACTCACTTTTGAACTGTAACATTTTCAAGAGTTGTATCATTTACTTTCAGTAGGAGAGGATTACATTTCTTCACCTTTTTTGAAGAACCAATTACCATGCATATGTTTTTATGGGATGCAAAGACATTTTGATGCACAAAAATTTAATACCTTGAGTGATTGTATTTCTTTTATATATTATTTCTTTGTATTTCGGTATTTTCATTGTATATTTAAACAATTATTTTTTTGTCAACACACTCCTTATGTATGTGATAATGTTTTTGTAAGTTTTTTTGACTTAGTTGCCATTTTAACTTTGTTATATACAAATTTCTAACTTAATTGTAAATACATAAATAAATAAAAAAATAAAAAAAATAAATAAGTAAATAAATAAATTAGCATAGATTTTGTCCTTTGTTATCTGATTAAAAAACATCGATACATAGTTTGTTTCTATGTAAACTACTTAAAAATATGACTCAATGGAAAAGATAAATGCGATGGCTTTTTAATATTAAATGACCACTTATGCTAAATACTTGGTAACACTCGACAGTTACTCTTTTACGACACTTGACGTAATTATGAAAAACTTGTTTTTAATACACTTTGTTAGGATAGAGAGGTCATGAAATTTAAGCAGAGTTTTTCTTTATTTCATAAATATATCACTTGCACTCTCACCGCTGTAAGTTCGAATCCCACCGGAGACTTTGGAATTTTTTCATGTTAAGGAAGCTAACCGGCTAGCTTACGAAACCTTGGTGGTTTTACTAAAATGCGCGCCCTTGTCTAAACTTAAGATTCAAGATTCAACATTCAAATATTTTATTTGGTAACGTAATGATGTTGTTTCTTACCACAAAGACACATACAGAAGTATGATACAATACAAGTTTCAACATTACACAATTTTACAGACAATTATAGTAACAGAAATTATTATAAATATTGCCAAATACTCATGAGAGTCAAAAAGGAAGACAGAAAACAAGGAAGTTGAACTCATAGCGAATTTTGTATATAATTTGACTACCAAATCACTACAAAAATAGCTCAAATGTTACACGAAATTAATAAAATATAACAAGGTCAATTTGAATATAACTTTAATTCAAAACGGTAGATAATCTTATTAAGACATCATACTTTCTATACCTTGACATATTTTAAAGGTTCCATATATAAATTTACATTATTCAATTTGCATGTTGCTGTTGGTACTCTTCATTACAATATTACAATGTTTACGAGGTTACCAGAATGTAACTCACACATCTTACAATATTCTTTTAACATAGACTGAAGAAAGTTTAATATTCATACAAAATAAAACGAATGAATTCAAAAATATTTATCAAAGTTTAACATAATAATTTAGTTCAATATTGTTCTCAGGTTATTTTTATGAACATGCAAAGTTTTTTGTATATCACATAATTAGAGGGGTCGTGTTCATTTATTCATCAAAATTTATTATATTTGGATTTCTATGCCAATTTCCAGTTTCGACCGGTAGTTTATGATTTCTAGTTCTGAATTTGATCATATATTTAAAATATTTGGTAGGTGTTTCACTAAAAAAGGTATATCTCAATTTCAAGTTTTCTTTATGTAAATATGGACATCCGTTTTATGGAACTGTTCTGCCTTCAAATGTGCGGACATCAAAATATCAACATGCAGTCAAATGTTCTAAATGCTTTTTAAGAAAGTATTTACAATAGTGTTTAACACATAAAATATTAGACAGATATTCAGCACTATACAATAAAGAATGACTTTGTGTTTGATATAATGTCGTCTATTGTTAATCATTTAAATTGTTACTCTGTTCTCTGTCTGACTCTTTTAAAACAGTTCATTGTTGTTGATGATCATTTATTTCCGCGTGTGCTTACTGTTATACGTCCATCAATGATATCGAGTGTCTTGACGAATTTCTCCATATTCATGCTCAGATACTTGTAACACGAAAAGAAAAGAAAAATATCAGAATTATGAAACCAAATAAAATGTAGACGAAAAGTTTATATAATATAAACATTTTATATATTGATACTAAGTTATTTAGGTGTTTACAATACTATGATCTGAACAATTAATTCACAATTACCTTGAACTCTTCCAAGATCCTCATAGTCAGGTGACTTTAACACAGGATCGCTCTTTGTTGCTGAAAAATAAACCTCTCTATATACTGATATTCTTGTAATATATCAATGCAACTTTTTAGTTATTGACTACATAAAGGATTATAAAATGCGATTGAAATATACAAGTTATGCTGCTGATTATGGTAACAAAAACAACAAGACCAACAACAAAAACAACTTACAATACCCGTAAATTTATCTTGCGTGCGATTAAAGGGCTTGCACAACATTTTAACTTCAGAACAATCAGTTATGCAAAAAAGCATGAATGTACATCTTATTTGAAATATTCTAAATGCCAAAAATTAAATATTATCAACGTAAACCCTTAAAATATTTAGGTATGTCATGATATTATAGATACGAAAGAAATTGTTAGTAATTACATATACGATTATTTTAAATAAAATGCACAGAAAGATCTGAAGAAGCAAATTAAAAATTTAGAAAACAGCAACAAGAAATACCTTGTTCAATTCCATGCTTGCCTGCACTGCCGGGATTTGCTGAATTCCCACATTCCATTTCAATGCCTGAAAATATTTAAACAATTGTGTTACTATTTTATCTAAATTATAACGACTGAAAATAATTGAATAATTATGCTACTATTTATCTAAATAATTAAGCTTGAAAATAATTACGACTGAAGATATTTGAATAATATAATGATACTATTTTATCTAAATTATTACGCTTGAAACTCAGTGGTAGGAACATATTATGATTCAGATTGGAAATCATTTAATTAAGAACTGACCGTGCAAATGGAGATATAAGTGGAGCTTAGGTCTAGTGGTTAAGGTGTAGGCCTCTTAATCCAGGGATCATGTGTTCGAGCCCTACTCAGGTTACAACCCGTGTTTTATATGACAACATAATAATTACTGGTTGGTTCTAGGAAGCGGACTCTAAAATAATTGACATTAGTGCAAGAACTTGTTTCGCAATCGAGCTTAAATAAATATGATAAAAATTGATATGAAGAACATAAAATTCTTAATGAAAAAACATCATCTAGCAGTAAAAAATAAGAACTAGTATATATTTACCTGAGTTTTCATAAACAGGTCCTTTTGCCTTGTAAGTATCATTGACCCTGTAATAAAAATGAAATATTGGACTTATTTGTTTTAGATCATTTGACTTGTCATTTATAAATACAACATGTATTCAGTACTCAAAAACTGTTGTAAAATATTTATGTTGACAAGAAAATATAATGGATACAAGTGATTCTAAATACGCGGAAGTAAAAAGCTAATAAAAATATAATGATGTGTTGCTTTTTAACATCGTATTTTGAAAGAACCATAAACAGGCTTTCGGGATTATCTCACTCCTACAAATGTATTTTAAATTTGATAGTACTCTTAAGTTAAAATTGTTTAAGTTAAATCTTTGATTGCTTAAGAGAAATGTAACTTAGCAAAAAGTTAATCAAGAAATTCAGAGATAAAAAGTGGGGGAGGGGGTATTACTAAGAAAAAACAATAGAATTACATGTACTTTAGAAATGAATTCCAATTTAAAAATGCAACAAGTTTGACAGTTTTTCAGAAAGTGACCTTAGAAAAAAACAGTAAAAAGTACATAACTTTCGAAATATCAATTCTGGGATTATCTGCCCTGTACACATTAAACAAGACTGAAGTTTTATAGTGTCTGCGAAAATAGACCTTCGCAAAAAAGGTTAATCAGGGATAAAATCAGGGCTAAAAAGTTGAAAAAGAGACATAACTTTGCAAAAACAATAGAAATGACCTTTAAAATTGTGTTCATTCATCATGTTCATGACAAAAAAAAATGTATACCAAGTTCGAACTAGTTACTAGGTTTAACGGTTTCCGACGGCGAAATTAACGAGAGGGTCATGACAATAGTTTCGATTCTTTCTTCATTTTTTTTAAAAGTTGAACTCAGAAGGCAAAAAGATTTTAGAATTTTGACATAATTCATATATTGTATAGTATTTTTACAGTATAAGTTCTATCTTGGACTTTAATTCAGTTGAATATATTAACAATCTTTACCTTTTACGATATTTCCGGAGAATCAACGTAACCACAAATATGATGTTAACAACTACTGCCACAGCAAGAAATGTTCCAAGTGATACAGCAGTTGTAGTTGCTGACTGCTCTGAGGAACTTGAGTCTAAAAATAACACGATTATCATACCTTAAAAATTGAAGAGTGCTACATACTTTAAGACATATTAAAAAAGTAAGTACATAAGTATATCACTATAAATTCATCAATACATAAAATTTAATCAAATGTCTTGCTTTTAATTGGCTTTTACATATTGTATTTTTATTCTATACATAAACACGGGTATAATTGTTGTCGCAGGCACTTAAATTATTTTTATCATTAAAATCATAATCGTTAACATTATTTTTATCATCATTTGCAGCGGAAACAGCAACATCATCATCATTCCAAATATACAGAGGAGACATAATATGACATTACCAGATAGCATAGCTAAAAATGAAAAGCATATATATCACGAATGGTGAAAAAAAACGAGCTGTTTTGAATAAATCTTGCCTGATGTCAGAGGGCAAATGGGGTCATTTTTTACTTTCATTTTGCATCCTTTTGTACATTTGCCGTTGTCTTGCTTACAAATTGTATCGTTGCAATAAACAGAACATTTCTCAGAACATTGTAAACCATGGAAACCATCTACGCATCCATATAGGCACTTTCCATTACTTTGCTGACATAAACTTCCGCCTGTTGTTTGAATGTTGCATGTAGAGGCACATGAAAAATTGCAACTATCACCATAAAAGTTACCGTTGCAACCGTCACATATACCTGATTCGATATGACAGGACTTTAGACAATTCTGTGGACATAGTTTGTCACATTGGTCATTGAAGTATCCAGACTTACATTGTTTACACCTTGTATCTGACAAACATGTGATACAGTTGTTATTACTTATACAACATCTGTCACCTGAATAATTGTTGAAACAGCCACCAGAGCACGTCCCTGTATCTCTATCACATACATCGTCCAAACAATAAGTTGGGCATCTCTCAGAGCAAAATGAACCATGAAAACCAACAGCACAGTTTTCACATGTCTCTCCAGCAAAGTTTTGATTGCAATTAATACAACTTCCGGACTCTTTAAAGCAACCGTTCCTGTCACAATTGACAGGACAGTTACTGTTGCATGCATTACCCATACTTGCCAAGTATGCATTGATTGCATTGCCTTCCTACAAAGTTATCAAGACATCCATATGAGCATTCACCATTACTTTTCCCTTG